CTCACCGCCTCCCCCCCAGGCCAAGATCGCCTGCAACGCCAAGGACACGGCGCACACCCGGGCAGAGAGGAACATCCTGGAGGCCGTCAAGCACCCCTTCATCGTTGACCTCATCTACGCCTTCCAGACGGGCGGCAAGCTCTACCTCATCCTGGAGTGCCTCAGCGGTGCGGGATGGCTCGGGGGTCCCGGAGATAACTCCAGGGAATGGCTACAAGTTGTCCTAGGGATGGCTGGAGGGGTTCCAGGAATGGCTTGGGGTGTCCAGGGATGGTTAAAACATGACCTGGGGTGGCTGCAGTGTCCAGGGAGGGTGTCCAGGGATGGCTCAGGGGGTCCAGAGATGGTTTAAGGGTGTCCCGGGATGGCTACAGAGTGGTCCAGGATGGTTCAAATGTTCCCTGGGGGTGATTAAAGAGTGTCCAGGGATGGCTCAGGAGGGTCGCTCTCGGGCTCTCTGTACAGGTGGAGAGCTCTTCATGCAGCTGGAGCGGGAAGGGATCTTCCTGGAGGACACTGCCTGGTAGGGATTTGGTGGTGGTGGTGGTGGGTGTGGGTGGGGTGGTCACCCCAACATCGCTCACAGCCTGCCCCGATCCTGCTGCAGTTTCTACCTGAGCGAGATCACACTGGCACTAGGTCACCTGCATTCCCATGGGATCATCTACCGGGATCTTAAGCCAGAGAATATCATGCTCAACAGCCAAGGTGGGTTTGGGTGGCAAACTGGGGAGCTTGGGGGGTTCTCTGGGGCAGTGCTGAGCTCCCCACGTCCCTCAGGTCACATCAAGCTGACAGACTTTGGGCTGTGCAAGGAGTCCATCCACGACGGAGCCGTCACCCACACCTTCTGCGGCACCATCGAGTACATGTGAGGTGGATGCAGCACTGGGGGGAATTTGGGGGGGTCTGTTTTGGCCTCCCATCCGCTCAGGGCCCCCCCCGCACTCCCCAGGGCCCCCGAGATCCTGGTGCGGAGCGGGCACAACCGGGCGGTGGACTGGTGGAGCCTGGGCGCCCTGATGTACGACATGCTCACCGGATCGGCAAGTCCCACTGCTGCTCCTTCCTCCCTGGGAACTGGGGGGGCATCCCAGGGTGCCTGGGGGGTTGACCCCGTGCCTTTCTGGTCCGCCTGGCTCTTCATGGCCCCCGGTTCCCCCCACAGCCGCCGTTCACCGCCGAGAACCGCAAGAAGACCATCGACAAGATCCTCAAGGGAAAGCTGGTGCTGCCGCCCTACCTGACACCCGATGCTCGTGACCTCCTCAAAAAGGTCCTCCCCCCTCCCCCCAATTTTCCCCACC